TGATCAAAGTCATATTTGAATATTTCCAAAGTTCAATTTAAACTTTTTTAAATCACTAAAAATGACAAGTTTTAAGTGATGAAAAATTTCATGATAAAATGGAGGAAAAACAAAAATCTTATGAATAGATAATTTTATGAGAAAAATGCTTGGAAAGGATTATTTATTTTTTGAAAAAATGCAATTTCCAACGAAAATTAAAAAACAAAACTAATCCAAGCTAGAAAATGAATTATCACAATATGAATGAGTGTGTGGCCAGACTGAGGATGGAAAAGCAATGAATAGTTTTGAGGGTGGCAGAAGGGAAAATCTATTTAAATGCAAATGCAACCATCATCTCTGGAATTGGGAATCTGCAGAATTATTATCATATTATTATATTTTCCATTTTGCTTTCGATTCACTGCCGTAGATAGAGAAACTTTTCAAAATCTAAATTCTTTTTCTCTCTGATTAACATTTTTTACACTTTTTTCAAAATCTAGATCTTTTTTTGTTTGTCAAGCAGAAAAAACAAACTTGAATCCGAATCTCTATTTGAAGATGAAAATTATCTGGACCTGGCTAGTTAGTTAGTTGATCGCCATATTCACACCAGCGAAATGATTTAACTTGGCTCTGAATTGCCGCCATCATCAACATTGGCCATTATCAATGACATTTTTATGGCCATTATTAATATTGACTGTAATTATGTAATGTCTTCCCTCGAAATGTAGTTTTTATTAGCTTGCCGTTGATGTTTATGCTGAAAATTTTTATTATTATGCATCATGAGAGGAAAACTTTCAGTTTTTTTGGCTGAACCATTTGAGAATTCTTTTTCATTAAAAAATTCAAATTTGAAAAAAAGAAAATTCTTCATTTCTTTCATTTCAGTTGGACCAATCAATTTTCTTTTCACGAAGAATTCCGAAGAAAATCTGCTGCTTAGGAATCAATTGATTCGATTTCTTTGTGATTGTGTTTCTGAATCGAAATCGTTATTAAAATCATTCAACCATTTTGTCATTCAATCATGGATCGATTGTCCACTTTTCATTCAAATCAAAAATTAAAAAACTCAATTCAAGAATCAAATGGAAAATTGAAAATTCATAACGACGACGACAATGTAATTCATCTTTGTCGATCGGGAAATTTATTTGTTTGGTGGTAGGAAATATTATTTTTTCCATTCAATGCCAATCAACCAGAAAGAATTATTTTCATCAAAAAGCTTTCTCCAATTCTCTGTTTATGGCAGTTTTTTCTTCTTCTGTTGATTTCAATTCATTTGACATTGGATGATGATGAATAAATATAAATTCAAAAATATAGTCATGTTCTTGCATCCATCTTGCTATCGATGAAAGCATTCAATTAACAAAATGACTGTATGATTTTTCAATTATGAAACATTGCATAGGAAAATGCTATCATGATTATCATCAACAACATGCGAATGCACTTAGACTATGATTAATGGACTATGATAATGATTTTCATCGATAACCAATCGGAAATCATCAATTAACACTAACTAAATTACTGATATCTATTTCCATTCTTTTCAGGCACAATGCCTGATTGAATATTCCTTACTTGTATCATTGATTGAATAGTGTACAAATGCAAAAAATCCATTAATGGTCCTTCATCCCACCGACAATTAAAAAACTCTTGATGACATTAAGTGTGGACACTCCTCGAAACACTATAATGCCAAAATTAGATGACCTGCATTCCATTAGGGGAAAATGAATTGATCGTAAATGATTATCGATGAAATGATTGACAACTAGAACGAAAATCACATCATAACACAATAACACCGTAGGTAGCTAGGCCATCAATCCAGATGACCATATCACGATTCGCTTTGATTTAATGTTTTCATTTTTGGCAGAAAATCATCAAATTCAACGTTTGATCTAATGCCAATTATCGACCGTTAAACAAACGGTAATCCTATGATTACCAATGAAAAGATTATTATTGTTATTATTATTGAGGTAATCTCCGTTAAAAAGCGATAGTAATTTCGACTTTCGCTATTCAACAATGGAAATTGTTCATTCATTGCATTGATGATGATGCGAATGAATGGAAGCATTTGGTTGAGAAAAGAAAGTCAAAATAACTCTTCGATCGTGATCAAATATTTGTTGTGAAAAAACTGTTGTATTTTGTGAATCGAATGGATGGCAAAAAGTCAATGGAAAATAAATCAACCCAAACCAAAACAAACAAACAAACCATTATTGATCAATCAAATCGATGACGATCATCATCAACTTTATTTTGTTACCAATGAATGAATTAGTCGGTCAAAATGATAATAACTATGTTGCATGACCAGAGCAACAAGACAAAATGGAAAAAATCAAGCAATGCAGATGCTCTATAATTTTAATTAAATTATCACATCATGCCCAACACATTCATTTTTCAGTGAAAAGTTTGTAACCAATTTGTTATTGGCTGGTTATAAATAAACAGAAAAATTCTAAACGTCCAGTAATCTTACTGATCATAATCAACCAGTGTCTATAATCATCAACAAATTATAGGCATCGACGATTTCTCTAAAAAGAAAAAAATAAAACAAATAAATCAAGATTCCCATATTAAATTAGAGGTTTTTCGAGAAAAAAATTTAGATTTTTAAATAAATCAATTCCAAATGATATCGATTGATAACCCGTGTGATGCTTTTCTCTTGGTTCGAATCAGGAAAAGTTTAGCAAATCATTTTCGAAAATCGATTGATGGTTGGATGGATGGATGTTTGCAAAATTTGATTTGATTTGCCAGCAACACTTCTTTCATTCAAATCAATCGATCATTTCGATCCAAACTGGATGAATGACTTGCAAACAACACATTTCGAATCGATCGAATCGATCGCGATTGTCAATTTGATAAGCAGCAATTATTATATAAACAATAATGCAATGCAGAGAAAATTTTCGCCATGCTAAACATTCATTAATTAATTTGTATCAGCAGCATTGTGATGTTTTTGAGAATCAAGACTACTTCAAGCATAAATTTTGAAAAAATCTTCAATTCTTTTTCCAATCTCAACAGGATTATGATGCTCAGTGAATGAATGGATCGAAAAGGTGACCCAAAATGACTCTCATATTGAATTGTCTATTCAAACAAAGAAATCTGCATAGCCATATGAATACACTGTGATACAAGCAAGGTATTTGGTCATAATCATAATGATAATCACCATTATTAATGTTTATTTATGCAACACATTTTCTCATTTTCACCCATAGTATGAGGATGGTGTGTTTATATATGGCGGGGAGCCGTGAATGATTACATTTAGTGAATTAATATTAATGATATTTAATCATTATTTATTAGGCATTCGGATGCATGAACCAATGCAGCAATATTGCCCCTTGTTTCTGGAATCACTCATTGTGGCCTTTGGTGGTCGTGCAACGATAATATTACATTTTGTCACGATATTATATGCATTTTTCAATCAAATGGCTTCCATTTTTGCTGATAAAATGAAAAAAGTTTCTAAACGGGCAAAATTTTAATGACAATTTTTTTCATCATTCCAAATGAATTATTAACCAAAATATTTATTATTATTTATGGACATTCACAACGCACCAAAATCGAAAACATTGGAAATTAGTTTTTTTATTAAAAAAAACTAATAGCGCCATCCATCAACAGGAACGGTAACCATACCAACAAAAGGATTTTGATGAAGATTTTTCAAGCAAAAAAAGTTTGAAAGAATTTGGTTTGTTTGTGAAACATTTGTCGCCATCATTTTGATCATCATTATCTAGGAAATGAAATCGACCGGAATATCATTATGAATATTAAGCTCAATGGATGGGAGATGAAACTTTCTTGTTGCCAAATCAATTTGTATGGGGATATTTGCCATCAATCGATTGTTTCATTAAAACAATATTAGTCTTTCTTTCTTGCGCTCGTCATCAATCGTTGGCTTCGAAGTTGAATTTCGCATGTATCGAGATTGGAATTTTGAAATGAATTCTCCATTCTGACCATCAATCAACCGAATGAACATTAATGAAATCACTTTCCGAAAGTGGCCAGCATGTATTTAAATGTGGAAAAGAAAAATTACGTTTTCTTTCACTTTCCAAGATAAGAAAACGTACTGCAGAATTGAGCAGCGAAAATTGACAAATTCCGATCATTTTTCAAAAGCACCTAGCCAACTGCAACTAAAAAGGTGGTGATAGTAATGGTGGTGACAAATTCATTTCGACAAAAAGAAAGATGCCGATACTTTAATGAAAGTCTTTGATCATCTTATGCATACGACACACCTTACATGATTATTATAGAGAGGCAGGTTATTCATCATTTGAATTAATTAAAATGGACTTTTTCTTTTCTTTGCCATTATCTCGACATCGATGGTCGAAATGGGAAAACGAATGCGATAAGATAAGCACAAGTTTTCAATTTCGAATGAATTATGAAATCAGGTTGACATTACTTTCGATGAACATTGAACGAAAACGAAACAAATCAACTCACTCAACAGAATGGCTCATTCGGATTTATAATGAGTATCCATAAATTTTATTGGGAGAAAAATCATCATCATTCACGAATCAAGCAATTAAATATTTTCAAAAAACAAATTCGCTTAATCAACACCACAATCTCTCTCACTCTATGCAAGGAAGAATGGAATATAATTAAGATATTAGGCAAAAGACTAAAATAATGATGTGCAAAGTGACATCCAAAAAACGATAACAACTCAAAACAAGAATGACCAGCCATTGGAATGTGGTCGTATGAAAAGGTGTGAAAAAGTAATTAATGTTTCAGGTGGCAATACGCTCCATCTAGTAATGGAATAAAGGAAAAAGTTTTTAATTTTATTGCCAAAATTTAATTAGTCGAACACATAAATCTATTAATCAAATGAAACAAAACTAAAATGGTTGAAAACTAAAAAACAGAGTATAGCAAAAAGGATTAAAATATTAAATGAAACATTAGATAGAGTGTATAAAATGTAGATGGATATATCAAACCATATGATAGAATCGAATGGCACAAACAAACAACAATGATATAAGATATTAAAGATGTAATCACTTTTTATGGAATATTTGGTCAATCATGTTCGCATCCTCAATGTCACGAGTGAATCCTTTTCGCACATAGCAAACAATATTACGGTCAAATTTGCGCTTTTTCAAGTTGAAGTTGGTGGTCTTACGAAATCCATACATGTGCAATTGACGGAGAAACGATTGGAATTTCTTCGATCGGGTTATTTGCGACAGAAATGGTGTCAATTTTTTGATGTTGATCTGAATCTCTCGGCCATTTTTCGACCAATTGATTGCCGAGAATGTCGGGCAATTGATCAGACTCCAGAGTTTGTGCGGAAACAACAATTTTTTCAGATCAATCAGCAATTGCTTGACGATGGATTTTTGATTTTTGTTCTGGTCATTGCTTTCACGAGTCACTGATTGAATGGGAACTTGATCAGCATCATCCGGAACTTCGGTTTTCACGATGATCATTTCTTTTTCATTTTGAACCGGAATGAACAATTTCACTTCTCGAGATTTCGAAATCTCTCCATGTTTGTCGTCGTTATCATCACTATCAACTTCGGATTTCGGTGTTGAACATTGCTGTTGACCACCGTTGTTGTCAGCCATGGTCATCATTCGATAATCATCAAAATTGTTGATGGCAGTAGTGGTTGCGGAAAATAATTTGCTATCCGTAATGGAATTGTCCACTTTAACATTGTCATTGATGAAATTGACGAAAAATTCCGTATTGAATGTTTGATCAGGAAATTCCAAATCATCGATGCAATCTGCCCATTTGGAAAAGTCCGATTGATTGAAGCCATCAGCCAAACAGGGATCCATCATTGAGTGGCGATCATTTTGCGAAACATGGTCACCATACATTGTCGGCTCGAAAGTTTGATGCTGCTCTTGTTGTTGCTAGATTTCAAATGGGAATTGATTAATGGAATGTTATGAATATTGTACGATTATATGATCATTTTTATGTATCATTTACCTCGCCATAATCGAAAATGGGATGATAGCTGTTGTGATTGACCAGTTGTTGGCAGTCCATAGAATCGAATGGTGATTGCTGCTGTTGATCATCGGTCACCAAGGATTCCTAGTTTTTCAAATTTTTCAAATTCAAATCAGTCAACATTTGCCGAATCAGAAGCGAAAATATTACAAAAAATACAAACCTTAAATGTATAGTAAAGATATTCATTCAGGTAATGTTGATCGTAATTGTTGTTGTCAATGGATGTAGCAAAATCGTTGAAATCGGGAGCCGTCATCATCATGGTGGTTGTAGCGTCCATTGTTTCGGGTAAATCCATCTTTCGAAAACGCGTTCAAATTAAATAAAATAAAATGTTAAATGTGCGCGAGTGCGTGTATGATGAATTCGAATGAAAAATCGAAATATGAAAATATCGAAAAATCGAAAAAAATGATAAAAAACACTGAAGCTAAGTTCGCTTTGGTGAAGATCACCCAACAACAGTATCACTTCTTTCGATGGGTTTTGACCTTAGGCAAATGTTTCAACTATAACCCTAACTGTAATGGCGGTGTTAACTTTTGTTATTTTTGTCAATTGGTGATGATGAAATATCAGTAGCATGATTCATTTCATCAGTGTTATCGACCTATCAATCGAGTTTTCTTTTGTTTTTTCCTGGAATTTTGATTAGATTTCAAGGACAATTCTCCGGAATGATCAGCGATAACCAATGTGCAACTGTAGATTTGGCTACATTGTATCAATAATACATTTTCGAATGACACATGCGCATACCAACTAATTTTATTAAGATACTTTGAAATGAATAAATGAATGAATGTAGCCAGCAATAGAAGACGTTTGTTTCAATTTAACGGCGCCATCTGCTTGCTTTATTCATAAGTAAGAATATAATGGTTGTCCGAAATTCTGTGGAAAAAATTGACCCGCTGTCGCTGTTCATGCTTCACCCGATTATCTTCCTCATCATTCGTTTTCTTTGATGATTGTCCTCGTCGCCGTCGTCGTCGTTTATGTTTGCTGCTAAAATTATTTTTCATGGATTTGAGAATTTGAATTAAATAACAAGTCATGTCTGGTTGTTGTTGGTGATCGCCATCAATGTCATCGATGAGGAGGATCTGATGAAATTCCGGACTATTCCACTCGATGGGTGTTACAGTTTTTATCTGGCTTCTGTCATTTTCCGATCGAAATTCAATGTAATCCGAATGAAAATTGATCTTCAGCGATTCGATTGTTTGCCAAAGTAATGTGACGAATTCTCCCACTTTGTTGTTTTCATCCGACGGTGTGGTGGTGGTCAAATCGATACCCGGGCTCGTCTTGTCTTGTTGATGTTTCTGCTGTTCTGTGGAACAACTCTCGAATGCAAATACCAGATCATTGTGATAGCGGCCATGCACAACAACCAATTGATCGGATCCAGTACTAATACTGACGCCGACAATATCTATCAGACGAATCCATTGCTCAAGAGTTTTATGTTTCAAATTCATTTTATAAATAGCCGATTTATCCATAATCAAGCCGTAGTGTTTGGCTGAAGAGGATTTTGGTGCTATGATTTTGGCTGCAAATACAAGTTTGCCCAAGCGGCCATCACTGGCACTGACATGAGCCTGATATTCGTTATCGTCCAGCAGGTAATTGCCAAGCCATTTTTTTCTCGAGCAACCCCATTCGCTTTTGTTACCTTTGAAAATGATTTCAGCGTCCATTCTTAGTACTTTTTCCTGCCAATAGCTATGGGGAAATTTCAATATGATCAACCAATGATTAAAATAATCAATCATTTCGGGTAATAGTTGATTGTAAACATTGTTATCAAGTAAACTGCGGCTATTATTCGAAAATGTTACTTTGTTGCGATAACGAATCGAAATCAAATCCAAATATTCCAGGTATTTGGCCGGACGATGCAGACAACAGAACATGTATTGATTGAAATAACGATTTTCGAATTTGTCCAGAAATTTGTTGATCATTTCCAATTTTTTCCGTCGACAAAACAATTCGAATGCCATTCGAGTGAGTTCGAGACGTTCGAAACGCCTAATGGCCAAAAAGCGCCGTGCCAGCTATATTCAAACGAATGTCATCAGGATTGATTAGAAGCAATTTTTATTGATACATACAGTTTGAACTTGAACAATGCAATTGCGGAAATATTCGAAACGTTTCTTTTCCAAACACTCCACTATTTTCGGATCACGAACAAACAATATGGTTCGACCGAATGCAAATTTCTTGTTCTGATCGCTTTGGTGGTTGTTGAAATCGTCTTCGACAATAACATCGGACAGTTTTTCCAGGATCGTTTTGCACACAGGTTGGTAACTCGCTCGAAGATCTTGATCAATCTTTTCCGGAATCATCAATAGTTGTGGGTCGGCAAACATTTTGAATCGACGAACAAAATCTTCGTATCGGTATTGACGCCAGAGGCCTGCCTGACAAATTTTGGCATGTTCCACCAGACCCAGGTATTGAATCTGATGTCGCACTTTATTCTCGTTGAAACCTTGTTGATCGATGGATTCATTTGGTTTGATGCAACGAACATACAATTGTTGTCGACTGCTGAGCCGTTTGATCAACGTATTCATCGATTGACGAAATTCCTGGCCAACAGTCGATGGTCTTTTGTTCTTTCTGGCCTTGCGTAATTTCGAATCACCTTGCAGTATTTCTATATTGAGGAGAAAAACGACCATTTAATTGGACGAAGTTGATTGATTTTTTGTGACTTACTTTGCATCAAAGGATCTGTGGTTGTTTGCATCAATTCCAAATGATCATAGTAAAGTTGATCAAGATTCTTTTCAACAAATCCATCCGCTCCATATAAAACGCGGCCATCAAAGTGATTGATGAGAAAGCCAAAATCATCGAGTTGGATTTTGAAATGAGGATCGTTGTGTTGGAAATGTTGATTGAGATATTTCAAAAACACACTGTCATCCTGCTGTTGATTATTGCCGGTGGTGCAAATATCGTCCAATATGAGGAAGATATCATGATAGACTTGGCAGATGTCATCATGATTATCGATATTGATTTTTGTCCAGCAAATGTCTTCTTTTTCGTATAAGGACTGTTCTTTTTTCAAATAGCAATCAATGAATAATTGGTGTAATTTTTCATTGGAATAGTTTATCAGAAATTGTTCGAATCCATTGGTTCCATTGGTTTTGGCCAAAACTTCAAATCCATAGATATCCAATATGCCAATGGTATTGATTTGCAGTGGCCGATCATCATCAGCAACGACGCGTTCTTTTTGCATAATTAATCGTTCATTGATCAATTTCAGAATGTATCCGAATAGATTGCGATATAACAGTTTTGCCAATGCATCACGACTTTGAATCGCCTGTGTTTGATCATAATTTTTACGAACAAAGTCATTTGGTGTACAAATCAAACGGCTACACAATGTGAGCAATGCATGGTTACAATCCAACGATAACAATCGGCAAAATTCATCCAAAGATTCTGGATCAATGACAAAGTTTTCATAATGGTCATTATCACCGAATTCATCATCATTTTTCTCATCAAAATGAATGTTTCCCAGTGAAAGAATTGCTGCCAATACTTTGTATATGCAACGAATCTGTTCCCACTCAAAGCCGATAGCCAACATTGATTGGAAAACCATGTCAAAATTCGAAGCATCTTGCACGTCATGGCCCGAACTGCCGCAAAGATAATAATATGAATCAATATCGGCATCCGCAAGTCTGATATCGGAAAACAAATCAGCATATTTCTCTGATTTCAAAACACTCAACATCTGATAGAAACAATGAAAATTACGTTCACCCTGTTGTTGATCGACCACTCGACACTGTGTGAATGAAGCAAAGTGGCGTGAATAAGTCATAGTGAATGGGAAGGAATTACCTTTTCCAGCAAATAATCATGAATCGTGGCGAATGAGCAATCATAATTATGATGTTGGTCATCGCGTACAAATGATATTTCCATGAACTTTCCGAATCGACTTGAATTATCATTGCAATTGGTGACTGCATTGCCAAATGATTCGAGAATATAATTCGATTTGATTACGGTGTCGACGACATTTTCAATTTCCGAGGATGATTGAAAAACATTGCCCAGAAACAATAACAAAAGTTTCGAGGCTTCGGTCTTGCCACTGCCGCTTTCCCCTGTGTGAGAGATTTGATTGAGAAATTATCGAAACAAATGAGTCGTAACGAACAACCAAGCACATTTACCTGTCACAATTATAGAACAATCAGTGTTTTGTTCGAAGATCATTCGATAGGCTGAATTGGCTACGGCAAAAATATGCGGACGTAGATTGTTGTCGGCGGTATCGGTGGTGGTACCACGATACATTTCAATGTAATCATCTCCATACAAGCATTTGGTGTCGCTGCCGTTCGGATTGACCGATACCAAGGTTGATTTAGCAATCTGTGTGTAATAGATCCGTCGTTCATATCTAACCGAACGAACGTTATGATTATCAAGCTGAAAACAGGAAACAATGATAGATCATACCGATTTCGAAGATTATCCATAATGTGATCAATGTTTATATCGCATAATTCGAGCAAATCATCATGATCGTTATCATTATTTTCTCGTAACATTTCCATTTTTTGCTTACACCAGTTGATGTGTTGACTGGCAATTCAAAATAGCAATAACAATAACAATTTCATTCGAATCAAACTTGCCGTTAAATATCAACTTAAATTCTTTTTAATTAATTCAGAATTTTTCGGAAAAAAACGTTCAACACAACAAATCAATTACAACAATGGATTGTTGCTTGGGAAAAAAATTCAAAAAAAAAATTTGTAACAGGAAAAAACCAGGTAAGGTATTGAAAGATTGACAAAACAAACACAAAATCGAATATTTGCAAAATAAAATATCAATAAATAAATGTATCAATCAAATTGGTATGTATTTTTTTGGGATTTTTTTGTTTTGTTTTGAAGTTTAACATTGGATGAGCGAAGATGGCAACAACAATAACACACACACGACAAACCGATTCGATGGAAAAAAATTTAAAAATCACAGTTATGATCGATTTCTTGAAAAAACGGGGAACAAAACAACGGTTGAATTGGATGTGGATGGATTCGAATGATATATGAGCAAATTTGGCTTGTAATTTTTTTTTTGATTTTTTTCTTGTTATGATGATGATGAAAAAGAACACTGATTTGTTGTGGTTGGTGGGACTTGCATTGATGAATAATTCGTCTACTAGTTGATGATCGAAGATGATGAATTTGTTGGAAACGAGGCCATTTAGAAAGGTTATTGGAAAGTCAAACATTCCATGTCATGGTTTCATCGTGATTGAATAATTGGCCGATATCATTGTTGATGGGATTATGTTGAATGTATTGATCGAAATCCAATCCATCCAGATCTAAATCGGCAATTGCGAAACAATCCACCGAATCAGACATGAGACATTGCACAACATTCGGATCAAGTTGCTCGACTGCAACGTGTCCATTTGAGCCAAAATCTATGAAACAAAAAATGAATAAATCAATCTGTTGAGGTCAAAACAACAACACTTGAATACCAGTGAGTAAGTTGGCTTCATTTGGAAAATTAATGCTGTTCAATGTGCCACTGGTAGTACTTCCACCAAGACCAGAATCCTGACTTTCTTGACGGCCATGCATCATCATCGATGTTGTTGTCGTTGAATCTTTGTTGTTTGATGATTTCGGCAACGTCTGCAACGATGGCAGATAATCGCTACGGACCATAGGATTGGTTTTAAGTATTTCAGCTCGGTTGCGCATCTTTTCTCTTTCCATTCTCAATTCAGTAAGGTATTGAAGTTGTGGATCGAATAATTGTTGTTGTTGTTGTTGATTGGTATCATCGGTAAGAATCTGATCTTTCATTTTTTCGGTGACCGATGCGATTTCTGTCGGTATCGCTATCATATTGGAATCGAATTGAAGTCCGGAATCCGGTAAGGTTGTGAAATGATTGTCTAATGATAGACCATAAAATGATGAATCACTATTGTGTGATATTAGAGCAGGAGATGGTTGTACTGGTTGTGACGATTGATGTTGATGATAGGAGGCAACAGGATTTGGATGATTAATAATCGAATTAGTTGGATTTTGAGCCAGATTAGTGAAATTTTGTTGTGTAATTTTGATCCTTGGATCATCCCATGTAGTTAATTTACGTTTATGATCGATGAAGTAACGTTCTCCATTCGAATCGAATGACATTGTCCAGCCATCCGGCAATGGAATCTTATCAATATCATAACTTTGTTGGCGAAAATGGAAGTTGTTATTGTTTGTGAGATTTGCATTAGCCAACTTTAATTGTTGTTGATGGCGATATTGTTTGGGAGAGGGCGGTGGTGGCGCTGCAGGTTGTGTTTTGACCAAACTTTTATTATTGTCCAGATTGGTGATTGGTGTGAAGGTCAATTTTTGATTGGGCAATGAAGCCGGTAATGAATGAGCTTTTTGGTGAACAAACGGTGGCGATGATATATTATGGTGATTGTTGTTATTATTTCGATGTGGTGTGGTCGGTGGTTTGGCCGAAGAATGGTTATTTTTATTTACAAAATTGGAATTGAATGTTGCGTCCAGTGATGATTCTCGTGAATGCGATGCCGATGATGAACAGGATGGAGGACGGAAAAAGGATTCGGGAAAATTACGTTGTCGCATTGGCACGTTATTGAGTGGTTGAATAGCATTGTTGTTGTTGTTGTTGACATCCTGTTGTTGTACGACACGGAACAACTCTTCGAAATGTGTTTCGGGATTAGGTGCAACATACATCTTCGATTCGTGCGACATATTATTTTGAGCCATGTTTGTGTTGAACAGGATTGTGTCAATGACGATGACGGTTGTGGGATAAATGAAATGATTATTATTTCAACCTGTTGTTGCTATAATGTCAAAAGTATTAAATTGATTGTTATTATCATCATCATCTGATTAATTACATTTATTTTATCACCAGCATTGATGATGAGACTAAACACCACTACGACTACCACTCACAACAAACAAATCACGAGCAAAAAAGCTAGTTATTGGTTTGTTGTTGTTTAGCATCATCCAATTGGACGCAGTCATTGGAAACAATCAACAAAACGATCTTCATTCGCATAGACACCGGTAATCATGAGATGCTGGTCTATTATCGTCATCAACATCATCAATGCACCATTACCAAGCCGACGACAACCATGGCAATGCTGTGTTGGTGATTATTTTGGTGGAAACACACATGAGTCGAGTACTATTATCGAAAAACGTGATTTTTCTCACTTTTTCGTTGTTGTGGTCAGAATTTCAAATGGTCAGTATTGGACCAGGTTTGCATTCTATTATGTGGCGAACAAGGAGAATAAACACGATTAGTTGATCAGAAAATTGATCACAAGTCAATCTGATATCTTTATTACTGGATATCTATGTTGTGCACTCTCACTGAACAGAGAAACAGGTAAATTGGAAACGAAAAAGTACAACTTGCTACTAAACTGTTTGAACGCCGAGTTGGAGAGATTCGATAGATATAAATTGAACAAAAAAGAAAAGAGAAATGAATGTTGAATGTTTATGGATTTGACAATAATGATAGTGGTGGTGATGATGATGATTGCATCAATAAATAAAGTTTTGCATATCGGTATGTTAATCGTTATTAATTGATCGACAACAGACAAAATTACTAATGATGATGCCAAACAACATTATTTCAATGCCGAAAAATGTCAAAAGGATGATGCCGTCCAAATGGAAATGGTGTGGAGGAATTTGTTTGCTATTTGCTTATATACCCAACATGTTTGGATATTGGATAACAATATTGTATTATTGCAATTCACATGACAACCAATTATATGTTGATGATGGTGACCGGTAAATTGAAATCAATCAATCAGTCTAGTGATGATAATTACTCAATTATGATCGATAAACAAACAACCAATCAAACGATCATTGCCATACCACAGTTCTCTTTTAGATGATTGAAAAGATCATATCTTCCGGTTATTTTTCGCTTGTTCGCTCATCGGATTAGTTGTTGTTGTTGATTGAAACTGAAATTCTCGTTTGATTCATTGCTCATTGAGTGTGGTATATCATGCTACATTAAGTATCTACAGCTACAGAAACTCTATTTTTTGATATTCTTTTGAGCGAAATGCTAAATGCGAAAATAATTCAATGTTATTTTCGACATTTAATTTTGTTTGAATAAAGAAACAAAGATGTTTACCTTCTTCTCGCCCATATTCCATACACATACATCTCATTCGGAAGGAATCGCAGGCAATTTTTCAATTTGCATCACCAACATCTTACAATATTCAGTTGCACAGTGGCATTATTATCATAAAACAATCAATTGTTGCTCGTATCATAACAATATTGGATAAATGTGTCATGAGTTTTATCCAATGTTAATGTTAATGATGGTATATAGAGAGAGAGATACTCATCTCACCATACCCCAAACAGCAACCAGCATTAAGACATCATGACATTTGTTTGGCGCCAGTCTTGTCGACGCCGCAATTATTATTTGCTTTTTTGTTTTTGGCTCGGATCCGACATTGAAATTTTCAATCATCATTCGAAATAGCGGTGGGTGATACCAATTGGTTTGTTCTTACTGAAAGGGGAATAGATGTCAAATGTAAAGGGTTTTGCATATGTTATTGATTGATCATTATCATCGTCGATTTGAATCGATCACCACGAAGAAAATCCATGTTCAACAAGTGAGAATCATTCATTGCGCATCCGAATCGTTTTCTAGGTTAGAATAACAAGATACTTTACTTACTTGGTTATTTTGTCTAAATATGGTTAGATTCTTTTTGGCATCATCATCTTGTGATTATGATGATGATGATTAAACAATGCATTGCACAAACGAATGCCGCTGCCACCACTCTCAGTCGACATGATAGATTCGGTTAACAGTTTCAATTTCGAAATTATGATGATGATGATGGTAAAATCTCTAAATATAAATCCTGAGTAATATGGCGTACAATACGACGAACATGATGATCGTCATAAATCCATGTTTTGTTTGTTTGTTTCGCCAATCGTTTTATGATGACGAATTAGGTCTGTAAATGATTTATACCAAGCAGAAAAACTAGCAATTTCAGTGAATTTGATTTTGCTGCAAAAACAAACAATTTGAACAGGGGATAATTGTCAATGAAAAAAGTATAGGATCAGACTGGATCTAATCAATTAGGTCACCCGTTATCTGATTCAGACTAGTGCAGAAATTTCACTCTTTGGTTATTGTTGACGCTAATCTGGATTTTAGTCACCCACACAATCCGCCTTTATCATTGACGGAAATCATTTGTACGTTAATGAGGCAAAACTGCCAAAATTCAATTCCCATTCAAAATCGATCAATCAAATTAAGATGAGTGATTTTCTTGCTAGTTGACTTATAATCAGTTGGTGGGTGGATAGCAAATACAAATTGCAAATTCTCATCTAAACAAACAAACCATGGTGAATTTAGTGAACAACGATGATCAAATAATCAATATTCGACCAACCATATCCATCAATCATTGATTCAATCAAATGATTGTTCCCATTACCAAGATTTGATGATAATTCACCACACATCAATCTATTTATACAAATTCCAATCTAAAGCAGAACAATGTCTTGGGAAATGTTTATTCGCTTAAAATTGTCCCCTTAAATTTGGCTTTCGACTATTCTCAAGTAAATCATCGACATAGACCAAACCGTACAAAACTATTATTGTGCCATCTATCTTCATCAATTAAATCTAAAATCTATTTTCACTGATTTGGTTACATTTGTATTGGCAAATATATTTTTGCTGAATCATTTTTCGTTTTTTGCTTTTGCTTTGTATGAACAACGCCAAACGCTCAAACAACGTGCGTTGAAAAGGAAATTGTCAATTGTGAACTTGACTTTGCTGTGTGAGCACGTTGTCAGAGTGATGATGAAATGAAACTTGTTGTTTTTGTTGAACATCGAATTAAGAATTCTTTTTTGTGTGATTATTCTGTTGCGAATTAATTGTGATACGAATAATTAGATGTTTATTAATTAGAAATTTATTGATAAGTTTTCCCAAAAAAAAGTTTTTGTGAATTTTCCTTTTGATGTTTATCATTTCATCATCGACTCAATTTTGTTTTGAGTAAAATTTTCTAAAAAATGAAAAAGCATTCCCCAAAAAATAAAAACGAAATTGTTTTGTTACAAATTCCACTGATTAATTGTGCCCCGATTAATGTTAATTGAAAATTTTCAATAAGTTTTCCAAAAAAAGTTTTTTTTCTAAATTTTCCTTTTTTGTGTTCAGCAAGCGCATTTCATCATCGACTCATTTTTTTCGAACAAACTTTTTGAAAAGTGCAAAATCATTCCCCAAAAAATGAACACTGCGCATATTGTTTACATTTCATCACTCGCTCTTTGTTTGTGGTTATCAACAATCAACGTGGAATTATCCGAATATTTTTTGGCTTTGGATCAAACAACAAATGGTTCTTTGTCGTATTCCAAATGATATTGTGTGCTGGTTGTTTTGTTGACTATGAAATATCATAACGTAGTAAACAAAGTGGATAACATATAAGCCCGGCAGTGCTCGCGCCTCGATTCAATGAATTCGAAATGCGTTT